TATAATAATTATAATAGATATATTAGCGTATAAGTTAAATATACGTTATTATACTATACTAAATTTCCTACGCTTTCAGCCTCACTAATAAGGCTTATTATAGCCGATTTAACTATAGTTTTAGAAATTAGTTTTATAGTACCTTCAATCTCTCTCTTTCTATCTCATAGGGCCGTACCTAGAATATACTAGTCCAGCCTAGGATATCCCTCGCCTAGCGTTTATCTATATTTCCTCGATTAGCTAGCGTAGGTTATAGTAAAGTAATCTTACCTCCTAGAATTCTTTACCGAATAGAATTTACCACAACCTAAGTCTTATTATATTTATTATTATTTCTATTAATAATAGCTTTTCGTATATTCGACCGCTCTAGGACTAAGAGAAATCTAGTGCGTAAAGAGGACTATAATTTAACAATTTATTCAACTATTTAATAAGCGTCTATATCTTTAGTTGATAAAAGACTAGAACTTCGAGCTAGGAAATTGCCACGATCTCTAGTTGATAAAGATATAACATTTAAAGTCACCTTTTAGGTAACTACAGCTTAGGGAGCGATTAGTAAACAAACATTATTATTAGTTTATTCTAAGCTAAAATAATAAAAAACGGCGTCGTAATTTAAAGCCTACTTTATCCCTATAGGGGCCTATAGAAGCTGCTCTATAAAGGTAAGTAGATAGTACCACAAAAAGCGACAATCCATTTCGAAGTATATAAGTAACACATTATAGAGCTTCGAAATACGACTTCCTCGCCTTTAGACTCTTATCGACCAGCCCTAGCAGAGAAGTATCCGTAGGCCCCTACGAAAAGTAACTAGAGCCCTATTAACGCGAGTAATTGCTCCGAACTTTATTTTTATTAAAGAGGGGCGAAAACATTACCTACGATAAGGAGATCACTTAGGCCAAGAAACACCTAAAGCCTCCATAACTCCTTTAACAACCAGCGTCTCCTCCTTACTATTAATAAAGACAGCCCTAACGATAGCTTCTATTATAGACGCTATAGGGCCCGGGTAGATTTTGTTCCCCTAGGATCGATTAGTATATATATATTCTACTAGGCCCGTAGAAAAGCCTTACTATATAAGATAGGCGTTAGACGATTTCTCCAATATAGTATTGTTTATCTAACCTACGAGAAAGTACAGATATATCCATCAGTATTATGTTACGTACTATACTATAGTAGTGATAAGTCATCACTTACCACGGGTCGTATATCGACGAAGGCCCTCCTTAATAAGAATCAACTTAATAACAGTATCACTAAGTAGAGCTAGGTCCTTATTTCTATTTTAGTAGATACTATCAGCAAGCTATAATGCTTATTAAAGTCTAAATCGGTCTTTAAATCGATAAGAAATGATTTCCTTAGCCTTCACAAGATTTCTATCTCTAATAGGGGATAAATTAAATATAGTTAATTACCACTAAGATTGTAGAAAGAAAGGACTTAGAAAATCGTATTAAATAGTTAGTAAGAGGAAGGATTATTTTCTTATTACGTAAGTAAAAGCTAGATAGGATTACTAGCGGGGGTAGCGTACTAAGTATAAATTATACTATCTTAAAAGGGACAAACATAATAATATCATCGATTACGAAGCCGCCGAATTAGGCCTACCATAATCGCGAGTATAAGGGATAGGCAATTCGCTAGCTCCTACTATATTAAAGGATAGATTAGGTAGTCCTAGACGAAATACTAGCGAACTCTTATCTCGAAAGCCCTTCTAAGAAGTCTTTAGAATAGCGGAAGAAAAATCAGTAGTAGAAGCTAGAGAAATCTCGAACTTACAATCACGGTTCTTCAGCAATTACTTATCTATTATCAACTCTTATAGATAGTCTTAGTAGAAGACTAGATTTCAAATATCTAAAAGATAGCGCAAAACGACCTAGATAAAAGGCTAGTCTATCTAGCTTACTAGCATATTTTCCGTAGCTCCCACTCCTATATCCGAAGATTAAAAGTGATTAGGAGCTTAATTTAAGAAAATAAGCCTTCTCTCGTAGATATTTTGCGGGAATATAATATCGATCGGACTATAAATATCGCGAAAAGATTGCTTAAGGATTAAGTTTTTAACGATACTTTAAAAGCTAAGATACGATTCCCGGAATTATTTAATATATCACCAACTTAAAACGCCGAGAGAGAAGCTTTAGAGGTAGAGGCGGCTAGAAGTAAAGTAAGTACGGTAAGGGAGATCTCCAAAAGGGAAGCCTTTAGAGATATCGATATTATTTCTTAAGCAAAACTAGATAATAAGGGGGATAGGAAAACAGAGAGTAGGTATACCCAATTTATAAAAATCAAAACCTAATACAATTTATTAACTCTAATAGAATCACACTTAGAAGCAAATTTAGATATCAATAAAGGTATTCCGTCGCTATACCTAGTATATATCCAGTATCGATATCAATATCTTATCACAACCACGATATAAAACCTACTCGAAGAGAGTTGTTTTAAGTTCGCTTAGCAGCATTTCCCTTACATTTTAGCAATAAAAGGCTAGGATTACCCCGAGGCAGTAGAACTAACAGAATAGACAAAGCTTATCGCTCGACATTTTTTATAGCCGGTGAAAGGCACAAATAAACTAATCGACGAATTATTTAGCTTTCTTTATAAGTTACGACACTCTATAGTCTATAGACTTCGAAAGACCGCGAATAGTATCGAACGACTTACCGAAAATACACAGCTTTTTCTTAAAGCTTTAGATGATTCATTTCGTTTAGAAAAAGTTTCCGTGCTTCGAAGGGAGCTAAAAGACACAATTAAAGAGCTTAAGCGTAATAAGGATCTCTTAAAAGGGAAACTAAATATACAACTTAAGAATATACAAAGAAAGCGAGCCGAATTGGATATGTATAAAAAAACTGTAATCGAATCTATAGGTCTCGATAATTAATAATATTAGAACGATATCGGTAAAGAGTTAAATAACGCCGTTCGAAATTTAATATCAAACGAAACACAAAATACGAAAGGGAAGGGAAAGTTGTTTTCTATAGACCAAAGATTATTTTAATCGGAAGACGATTTCCCCGAGGCGGATTTAACAATATATAGCCGGGAACTCGACTAGAGCTTAGTATAGTATAGAATTGCGTACGTTTATAATTTAAAAATTAAATAAGGCAAAAAAAATTAATATTATTCTATAGACCTAACACTATATATATAGCTACTATAGGCGATTCTCGTAGCCACATTATATAGTCGAATATAGACTACCTAAATGACTAGCCATAGGGAGTAGTTGTATTAAAGGTGATCGTTTAAGAGGTATTAGGATACGATAATATATATATTAGGTAATTTATATAAAATACTCTAGCTTAAGGTATCCTATTTTTTATATATATTACAATCTCTAATTTAGGAATAGATGGTTAAGGACTATATTCAATTAATACTAGTGCTCTTCGGATTAAAGTTTACGGATAAATTAGAAGAGTATAAAGGTAAAACTAAACTCGAAAACTACTATATATAATAAGTTGACTTTAGGTTTCCACCAAACTCATAAAATAAAATACAAATTGCAGTACTATAATAATAACCTATTTATCCGTATTAATATAGAGCAACTAGAATATTCCATAATAAACTCCTATATTGTCGTACAGCTAGTGCTATTATAGGGCGAGTGATTAACGAGGTACTCGGATTGAAAGTAATAATATAATAAGGGGCGAGATTACTTTCCTATTATTTACGCTAGCTAATCGAGGGTAGGTCGGGTGCCGAGTAAGCCCCCTAGACCGACTTAGACGTAGGAGCAGAAGGGAAGTACTAGTTCACCAGATTCTTCTAAGCTCTAGTGTTTAACTTATTTATATTTCCATAGAAAATTCTAGTTTCCTTAGATCGCTAGTATAGTTATAAGACGAGACTCCGTATTTTAATAGAAGTATTTAACGGTATCGAGACTAGTATAGGAATAGTATTATTCTGTCTATCTTTCCTAATATCGGCTAGTACTTCTTAGTAGTAGGGCTAAATAATCACTTAAAGAGTATAGACAGTTGCACTAGTTTCGGGACGTATTGTATACCCCTCGAGAATTAACGCGTACTAGCCGGTAGCCGGATCCTAGATCCTAATAGTATCATCACTTAACGCTAATACAAGTCGGCTTCTATCTTACGATTAGGCAATCGACCTAACCTAACTACTATACTTTTTAAGAGTTAACGCGTACTAGCTTATAGCCGGATCCTAGATCCTACTAGTTTTATTATTTAACGCTAATACGAGTTGGCTTCTATCTCGCGACTAGGTAGTCGACTTAACTTTATCGCTATACGCCTCGAGGGTTAACGCGTACTAGCTAGTCGCTAGATCCTAGGTTCTAACGGTAGTTTTATATAACGCTAATATAAGTCGGCTTCTATCTTACGACTAGGCAATCGAGGTATCTAAACTACTATACCCCTTAAGGGTTAACGCGTACTAGCCGGTAGCCGGATCCTAGATCCTAATAGTATTATTATCTAACGCTAATACGAGTCGGCTTCTATCTTACGACTAGGTAATAGACTAGACCGAACCGCTATACCCCTCGAGGGTTAACGTATACTAGCCGGTAGCCGGATCCTAGATCCTAACGGTAGTTTTATATAACGCTAATACGAGTCGGCTTCTATTCGGCGACTAGGCAATCTACCTAACTTTATCGATATATCCTATAAGGATTAAAGCGTACTAGCTAGTAGCCGGATCCTAGATCTTAATACTCTTATTATCTAACGCTAATACGAGTCGGCTTCTATCTTACGACTAGGAAATCGAGTTAACCTAACTACTATACCCCTCTAGTATATAAAAATATAGACTCTAATCTTTATCTACTAACGGCTTATTTAAAATATAATCCGGTCTCTCTCTTTAATAATATATCCTCGTAGGGCTTAATATAGGGCTAAATATTAGAGGTAAACTATATATCTAAAGGGGGCAATTTTTAATTACTAGCCTATAGTATCGAATAAATCAGGATACGTCTTAAACTTATTATAAAAAGGCAAGTAGTTCCTCTTTTTCCTATTATAGTAGCTTTAAGATTAGAAGTAGATATTAGTTTTAGTATATAAGTAATTACTTACCTAAAATAAGCCCTCGAGCTTTAATATAGCTATTATACCTTATAATATACTTCCTAGAATACTTAGGGCTTTAAGCTAGTAAAGGTATTTCTTTTATAGAAAATCACTAATATACCCTCTTTTATTAATATTAAGATCCTTTTTTTTATAATATCCGCTATAATAAAGATAGTTAACCTAATAGATATACGTATATTATATAGATACTAATAGGTTCGGACTAGATAGTATAACCTTCTTAATCGGGTATCTAGGAAATTTAAGTTAAAAGATATCTCGCCGAAGTATCTAAGATATAGCTTTTAAAGAACGAGAGAAAGCTTTCTAGTATTTAGCTTTAATACCTCTAGGGAAAACCCTAATTTACGTTTCTCTAAGTAGAAATTCTTTTATAGACTAATAAATAAAAATAATAGTATCTTCGCGTATAGTTAAAAATAAGCTATAAATCGCGATAATCTCCGATAGAGCTTTAGTATTACTAAAGAGATTATTAGGTAGCTTAATAATAGAGGGTAGCTCGTCGAACGCGATAGGCCGATATACTATAGATATAATAGCTAGTATTCGCTTATAAGATTCGGTATCTTCCGAGTTACGAACCTAATCGATTATCCGATTATATAAGGTATTTAGTCTAGATAAAAACGCGTTTAGCTTTCTAAGAGCGTACCTCCGCGATATTCTATTAAGATCTTAATAAGCTAGGGCTATCTAAAGGAAAGTTCCTTACGAGTTAGATAATAAATAATAGTAGATTATATTACGAGTTTTATCGCTATACTTCTTTACTTTTACTAGGTAGTAAACTTTATATTAAATAAATTTACTTATAGCTTTAGATATAAACGCCTTATTAAGCTCTAATAAGATAGGAGCGGTATAGGTAGTATTAAGACGCTCTTCGATATTAAGCTAGTTATAGCTCGAGACAATCTACTTTCTCTATAGGTAGGTAGAAGATACCTAACTAATTAAGTTAAAAAGCGAAGATAGGCCTATTATATATTCGTCTAACGCGTCGATAATTAAATAGGTGCTCTATAAGGTCGCGTCCTTTAATATATCCGTAAAGATTCTCGAGAGAGTATTCTATACGTTTATATCCTTAAATAATACTTTTCCCGCGTGGTCGTACTAATTCTTTATATAGGAGAGAAGAGATAGCTACTTCTTAATAAGTAAATATATTAAGCTACGAAGAATAGCCGTAGTATTATTGATTCGTACGTTAATAGCTTAGTAGAAAAAGAACGAGATATTCGTAGTATCCCTAAATAACTATATTAACTCGTCGATAATACCGCAGAGGAGTATTATCTTACCTTTACCCGGATCGCCTCTAATCTATAGGAGATAGTTACTCTAGTTGTTTTACTATTATTAAAACTCTTTATTATCTAGAATCTAGCGGTATAAGTCTTTTAACAGCCCTCCGTTAGTGATCTAAATACGATCTTTGTCGTAGTAAGGATTAGTCGTCCGTAGATCCCGTAGATACGCTTAATTTAATAATGTTTCTAATTGTACTAAGGTAGTAATACGAATTAGTCACGTTCTAATAGAATAATGTGTCCCTACCTACGGAACTAAGCAGTAACATTCCTATTAATTATTCCTCCTTAGAAGCCAGAGTTTAGTCCGTCATATAATATCCTAGATACCATTATTCCGGCTAGGTGATTCTAAGAAGGGTTAATCGCGAGCGTATAGCTTAAAGCCGAAGTACCCCGCTATCCGGGGTCATTAAGATTAAGGGTATCAATCGTATGATTATTTCCAACGTATTAAACAGTACCTTATCATATGATTTTAAGTTACAATACGTTTCGTTACACTTCGATAGCCTAAGCCTAATACAGACTAGCGTGTTTTAAGATAAAGTTTAGGAAAGAAACAAAAAGAGTAAAGTAGTAAAACTAATTTCGAGCGCGTCTATATATCTTCGCTCGTCCACTATATTAGTAGGGTAGTCGAGTAAACGTAGTTAGCTAAAGAGGGAGGTATAAAGTAGCCAGACAACCGACCGAATCTCCTACTAGCTCGGCTGTTTAGCTTATTTGCAAGTGAATTTCCAATAGATTATATAGTAATTGTGATTAAGCACTTACCGATAGTCGGGGACCGACTGTCGGTAAGTACTTAGTCACAATTAGCCCATCATATAACTTAGGCTTACAGTACGTTTCGAATTTTAGAAATTGCTTAAGCCGAACACAGACTAGCGTGTTTCGTAATTAAGTTCGGGAAAGATTCAAAGAGAGTAAAATAGTAAAACTGATTTCGAGCGCGTCTATATCATTTTCAGTCAACCAAATCTCAAATATAGCTATTAGCAGAATAATGATCCTCTCGTATTATACACAACTAAAAATTATCCAGACGCTCATATAAGTACAAGCAATAAGATTTCACACAATATAGCTGTTATATTATAGGTATATTCGGGTTGTTATTAACCTTCTATCTTAGGCGGGCTTGATTTACGATTTCAAAGCGGAGTTAACACTAAGAGGATTGCGGGATTATCCGGCTCTAGTGATTAATATACGGCCTTTTAAGTCTTACGAGTATAAACGGTAGGAGTAATAACGTGCTTTGATCTACGACGTCCGTATCTAACGCGCCTATCACTCGCCGTATCTGTTAAAAAACCTAGATTTCCTAACTGTACTTAGCGGCGGTATAGTCTTATTAGCTAGACTCTATATTTTATTCCGTTCTAGTCTAAATAACGGGAGGTAGGGCCGACCTATTCTCGAATCCTAGCCTAATTAGTAATTCCTATCCCCTCCTTTCTCTAAGTTAGAAGCGAGATTATAGAAGAAACCGCCTATACTAAAATTATACTTAATAATAATTTAGACGTAGGTACGAGTAGTAGACTCCGCTTCAAACGGGTTAGGTTCGGGACTCGAGCTTCCTACTAAAAGTGTACTTTACTCCGGCTAAGGCATTATTTTAGATACGTAGGAATATAATATACAACCTATTATTATTATTTAAATACGATCTACGGAGCGTAGGGGAAAAAAAAAAAAAAAAAAAAGACCCCTACCTAATTAATATAGCCGTAATATATACTCTAGCGGGTAAACGATAAATTATCTAGGTGTCTATATACGTAATATTAACGAATAGATTTATAACTAGCGCTGTCGGGGCCTCTGCGTAGTATCCGGATATTATAGTCTCCTTTTTATAAAACGTTATTACTACTACGTTTGTCCTCGATTAAACGGTAGTTTATCTTAAGTAATTTGTTCTTATTCTATATACCTATAAGTTTTTAACTGATTTTACTTAGGTTAAGTTATATTCTAGATAGTTACTAACGCTATTACTATTAAAGGCTCTAGCCGTAATATTAGAGAAGATAACTATATACTAAACTATCTACTAGAAATAAAAAACGTATATTCTAAGTATTTTAAGCCTTTTTAAGATAAGCTATCTTTAGTCCCTCTATATTCTCGGTTATATTTTAGGGCCCTAGCGGGGCGAGAGAGCTTTACTAGGTTCTTAAACGTTCCTCTTATAAACGACGCCCTAGGGAAGACAATAGAAGTAATATTTAAAGTATCGAAGCCTTATATACTTTAGCTCTATAACGACGAAGCTAGTACTAATATTAATTAGCTTAATATTATTAAGGAAAGAAATTATAAGGCTAAATATAAAGAGAATAGAACTTACTATTTTTATATATAAGACTAGGGCGTGATTATTTAGTTGTCTACTTTCTAATATAATATAGTACTTTTAGGATTACCCCGGAAGCTAATTTAACTATAGTCCTACGAAAAGGACGTATAGATAGAACTAAATATCTTAGCGCTAATAGCCGAAATAATATTATAGATAAATTAACTTATATTAGAAAGTAAGCCTACTTAAATATTATATTTATCCTATTTATTCGCTTATATCGTATTATAGTTATTAAAGCTAATAATACTATACTTAAAGAGGTACTAAAGAGAGATCGAATCCTCTGCCGTAATCTATAGCTAAGTCGAAGATCGGTAGGCTCGCCCTTTCCTCTAGAATTAGCCGAAGAGCTAGTAAACTTTATATAAATATAGATTAACGTTAATCCGCCGGATAAAATAGCTATCGAGACTTAAAGGATAGACGTATAAGCTAGTGATTTAAAATATAGTACTAGAATACGGAACTATACGTAATACGTATAAGAAACGTAGTAGTAATACTAAAGAGGTTAAAGAAACGTATTAATAATTTAGATTTACTAGTTCTTAAAAATAAGACTTAGCCTATAGAAGTATTAAAGCAACTTCCTCTATAATTTAAAGACTAAGTACGGAAGAATCAGTCGTAGGAAGAGATTATATAAAATTTTTATAGGATATTTATATAAAAAAGGACTTTTTATACTATTAAGGCAAAAGTATATTTCTTAATAAGAAAAAGTCCTTTTAGGAAGTGTAATAAAAAGACTTCGCGTAAAAGACCTATATCTTTAATATCTCGCTCCTCTCTACTACCGTCTTAATCCTTTAGATTAGTAGATTCTACCTAATAATTAATCTCGAGATCGAGTATTAAGGTTTATACTTTACGTCTAGCCCGGAATATACTTCCTTATCTAAGTTCTAAAAACTATAAGGATAGAAACCTTTACGCCTTTTATAGTATTTAACCGGTTAATCTAGAATTAGAAACTAGCGATCTATATATAGTACCTAAATAGGATACTATAAATTAAATATTAAGATACTAGCGCGTATCTTAGGAGCGTAAATCTTAAGTAGGTATAAGTCAAATTAAATCGCTAGTACGAGGAAGCTACTAAGCGGAAGAATCGCCTAAAGCCTATCTAGGTTTTTTAGATATAGTAGGCGAAAGTTAGCTAAGGAATCGTAATCTAATTAATATCTTCGCTATAATATTAGAGATAGATAATACTTACTTACTACGAAGCTCTCCCTTATAACCCCCTAGGATATTAGAACCTATCTAATCTCTAATCCGATATCCCTCTAAAGACGGTACTATACTCGAAATGCTAGGCTAAACGCTTTCCTATTATACTAAGTCTAGTATAATATATATAAAGGAGGTAGATACGGTATATAGTAATTAATTATTAGAGAGGCTTTCTCCGCAATCTTTATTATATAAAAATATATTAACTAGAGGTTTAGAAAATAAGGGTTCTAATAATAAAAGCTATATAGAAAGCGGACTTAGTACGTTGACTATTCTTAGGGAATCAATGCCCTTCTAAGTCCCTTAACTAAGCTCCGCGGGTAACTCGACTAAGCATTACCCTTAAAACTACGGAATAGATAGGCTAACTACCGATAACACTAAAAGAGCTTTAGTTGACGAAGAATTGATTATAAGATATCTCTATAAGAAGTCTAAAGCGGCGCGTTCTTATCGTAATTAGAACGATAAGGACCTAGACCGTTTACTAGAGTAGTATATAAAAATAAAACAGAAAAACCTATTAAAGGAGAGACTTAAAGTTACGTTTCTAAGAGATTTTAGCTACTATTAAACGTCTTCTATTATCGATATAGCTTATCGTAAAAAGAGAAGGGTAGATTCTCGCCGTAGGGATATAACCTTAGCCCCTATCCTAGGTCTACTTCCTCCGGTTATTCCTATCGTTCTCGATATACGCGGGTATTATAATCACTTAATGCTATTATTAGGCCCGATATTCCTAGCTTATATCTATCTTATACTATAGTAGAACTAAGTAATAAGAATGCCGTACTCACGTATCTACCGTCGGAGCTACCTCGATCGCTATAACTTAATTAGTCGTAGGTCCTAAATAATATAGATAGATTTTCTCGTAATATACCTCTACTATTATATAAGGGCGAAGAGGTAGTAGGTCAAAGTTCACCGGCTGCTATTGCCCTTAAATCCGCTTCCGAATAGATAGTATATTCTATACCTAAGAACGCCGAAGATACCTCTATATTAGGCAATCGGCGCTACCGAGTTGTAAAAACGCTAAAACCTCTATCTAGATTTATAGCAATTAATAGCGGTACCGTTTATCCAACTAATCTAAATATAATTGCCTAGCTAGAGACTAACGAGCGAGACGCTCCGCCTAATAGGCAAGGAAGCCAGCGAGTATCTAAATACGTCGGGCAGAGAAGAGATAGCCAAAATAAGCTATAAAAAGACGGGCCCTAGAGTAAGCTCTCCTCTAATATAGTGTCCGTTATAGTCACTTAGCTCTTTAAAGAGTATTAGATCTAGGTATTACCTGACCTTATACTTCACTTTTCTTTATCTATCCGCCTATGCTTCTTACACTAACTGTTTTTATTAGTATTTGTAGGTGGAAGAGGACGCCCTAATAAGCTTACCCCTAAGTATAAACTGGTAAGTTTAAATAATTCGGGGCTATCTAGCCGAATATTAGAAGGAGCTAGGTACTAGCGGTTACTCCTAATTAGTACTTCAGACGCTAATATTATACAACTAGGAACGCGTATAGATCTATAGAATACATCGTAGTCTTAAGAACAAGACGTCGATATACTAACCCTAAACAACCCCTACCCTACTTACCAGCCTAACTCCCGAATTGCAAACTCCTAATTTTATAGG